TTTGCATTATAATTAAAACTAAAGTCATACCTTTTTAAAAATCATTTATCAATTTTAAATATTCAAATTAAATTCTGAGGATGTTTTTTCTTTATTCAAATTCATCTTTTTTTTCTTGTCTTATGTCCCTACTTTTTTTACTTTTTTTTTTTACTTTTTTTTATGATTATTTCGAAAACTTTAGCACTAATTTAAATATACAAAATTGTTAAATATAGTTTTGTATATATTGTTTTTATTATTATTATTTTTGCATATCCATGTTAATTAAATTTTTTTTAGTTTTATTTTTGAATTTTATTTTTTCATTTTATTTCTTTTTTTTTCTAGGTAATTGCAACTATGAATTAATCTATAATGGGTTGTGTGTTGCAACACCTGAACCAATTTCCAATAATGGGTTTATACAAAATATAAGGACAATAAATTCTTTGGATTGGAGAGAGACAAACAATATTTGTTTAGATAGAATACCTCATAATAAACCAATAGAGTTAATTGCGTTAGATTATTTCAATATAAATTTTTCTGATTGTAATGATGTTATTTATGTCACTTCTTCTATTGCTGACAATGATAATTTAGTTGCTTCTAAGTTTATTGACTTATTTACTGTTAATTGTACAGGCATACGTGCTGTATTACCTGGTTACCGTTTACGTTATCATGCATCTCTTTTAAAGTGTGATTTTAAAAACTTTACTAATTATAGTGATGAAAATAGAATAACAATTTTTGTTTCTGAATTCAACCTTGTTATAATTGCTCGTGTTGCTACTTCAATGTATTGCCTCAAGCTTGAATCGGAACAGTGTTTAAATGATATCATATTATTTGTAAATGTTAACAATCTTCTTCTCGACACTAATAAACTAATTATTTTGGGAGTTGTAATTCTACCTTTACATGATCGTAAACATTTAAAAGAAGAGTTATTTTATCACTTCTCAGAGGATTTTGATTTAGATAAAATTTTGTTTCTATGTAAAGATGACATTGAAGATGAGAATTTTGAAACTTGGTGGAGATTAGTTGTAGCATACTGCATTAAAAAAGTAAATGCAAAAAATAATAATGAAGTACTATTTAAAAAACTTATTAGTTTAACTATGATGTCAATGTCTAAAGTTGACCATTGTTATCCCACATTAGAATCAGATACTCAAAAACAGATACAATCATTAGTTCTTAATTTTGAACAAAGAAATGCAATAAATGACAAAGCTCTGAAAAAAATCATCACTGGAGGATATGGTTCAGGAAAATCTATAGTAGGAAAAGAGATTGTTAAAAATTGTATTACAAATAAGTCACAAAACCTTTTGACCCTGTTTTATATATGTTGTAACCATTTCTCCTTGTACGAATGCCATATGAAAGAGTTTGTTGACAGTATAGAGAAATCTTCAAATGTTACTGTTGTCTGTGATAATTTGTATGAGTTGTGGAAAAAAATGTGCAAAAATAAAAGCATTTTAAGCAATTACATTTCAATACCAAAATTACTAGAGTATTTGGCTAGCACCAACGATAATAAAGTATGTTTTGTACTTGAAGAACTTTCTGAAGAGTATGTTAAAGAAAAAGATGCAGCTCAACTTAAACATTTGTTTGAATCTATATTAAAAGATTCTTTAGTTGTTTTTATTCCTGAGAGTATTACAAAGAATCGAGAATTGGTAACAAATAAACAAACCCGTACACTACAAAGAAATTACTTTCAAGAAGAAATAATAGGAATGAAGGTCATATCTCTAAATAAATCAATGAGAGTTACCAAATGCAATAAATTATTAATTGATATTGCTCAAAAGGTTATTTGTGAAACAAAAAGTGTTTTAAACATTCCAAATAAAAACATTCAAGTATTGGATGAAAATAAAAAAAACGACTTGTTAATAGTTAAAGATTCGCAGATTGAGGAAAAGAAGGATTTTCAAAGTTTAATGCTGACATTTGATTCCAGAAATGATTTTAAAAATTATCTAAAAACACCTAATTTTATGGAAAACTGTGTAAAAGATGAGGAAAAATTTAATGACACATCACATTATGACTTAAATGACACAATTAAGTTAAATAACGATAATAATTATGCATCCGTTATAATTAAAAAAGATAACAATTTTGCATCAAAAATTACTAACGATGAAACTGTTAATAAATTTAAAGATTCTACATATTCAAAAATCACTAACAAAACTATTGAAATTACTAACAAAACTGTTACTAGCAAAACTGTTGATAACTTTACAGACTATAAATCAGATCAGTCTTCAGAGAGAATAGAAAACAAATTTATTGATACAACTTTTAATGATTTTCATGACAATGATTTAGATTACATGGCAAAGTTAATAACAAAAAGTATTAGTAATGTTGATCCTAATTGTCATATGGAGACTGAATATGTTTTCAAATCTGGAAATTTAGGTCACTCAATTAAAGGAGAAAAACCCAAGGTTGTGTATTTACCTTTTCACGATATAACAGACAAGCAATCTATTAAATTATTATCCATTGTGTTAGAAAAAATTTGTTTTAATGTATTAAGAAAAACTGTGGTTATATGCAACAATATTGAAGAAATACAATCTGTTGCATATGCAATAGATACAATTAAAAATTTTAAAGCTGTAACTTATTCACCACATTTGCAGAAATACTCCCCAACATTAGAAAAAAAATTTAAAATTCATAATAATTTAAAAAGTGAACTGGACATTCTTGTAACTGACTGCAAAGGGTTTTCAGGAGCGGAATCTGAATCTGTAATTGTGTTTGTGAGTCCAGAAGAGATTTATCTTCGTCATGTTCTTGTGGATGCTATTTCTAGATCAAACTCATATTTAACTGTGTTTGTTAAGAGTTACAGTTGTATCAAAGAGCTTTTAAATAGCAACAAAACTATCGGAAATGTATTAGAGTTTTGGTCAGAAGAGGTAGTTGAAAAAATTACTGTTGTAATATCCAATAAAGAAAATCAAAAATCAAAAAATGGTTTCTTCATAGTAGATGAAAATTGCAAAGAATTTATTGATCGTGGATCTACTAATGACTTTGAAAAGTACAAGAAAAGTTTACAACTTCAAATTTTTCATGAAAATAACTTCATGTAAGTCTTATTTTTATAAAGAAGCAGTTATATATATAAATGTTATAAAATGTGTTATTTTACTTTAAAGTTTTTTAAAATTGTTTTAATTCAAATTATTTTATGTTTATATGTATGGCAAAAAGATTCTTTACAAAAAAAAAACTGTGATAGGAGAATGGGAAAAAGAAATCCTAAAATCTTAGCCCCCTCTCCTTATCCCATCCCTACCCTAAACTTGAGGATAATGAATTAAATTATTAATTTGTTCATAAATTAAACTAGTTATGCATTCATCTACAGATTTTCAATTTTATGTAAGAATAATATATATATATATATATATATATATATATATATATATATATATATATATATATATATATATATATATATATATATATATATATATATGTCAAGCCTTCCTAGGAAAGGCGTGTGGTTTTTCGTCTCTTATGGCCACACGCGATTATAATTTTGGAAAACGTGAACACGGCCGTTTGCAAGTTTTATAATAATGCTGAAAAAGTTTCAAAAACAAAAAAATAAAACTAACAAAATAAAAAGAGATTGAAGTAGAAAAAAATATAAACAAGTTAATAATTTAAATAATTTGTGTACTGTTTTTATTTTTGTTTCTTAGAGTTACATTCAGCAACAAAATTAGATAAAGCGAAGCAAAAAAAAAAAACAGTTTGAAATCTACAATAAAATGAATGATTTTCCTTTTCCTAATTTTTTTTAAGAGGATAGCAAAAATACAAATTGCTATGTGTTTGTAAAATTTATTTGTATAATTTTAATGTATTATGAAATGTATTAGCATTATGAAAAATGTTACTAATGGACCGTAAAAACGCGCGTTAATTTTAAAATTAACCAATAAAAATTTTTCATTGGTTGATTTTAAAATTAACGCACGTTTTTACATAACGTTTTTCATTATGCTATACTTTTTATAAAGTACTTTTTTATAACGTTGTTTAAGTGATATGTGAAAGTTTCTGAAATTTATAATAATATTTGAATATCCGCTTTATTTTTTCTAGATGCTTTTCTACTTTAATTTTAAAATTAACGCGCGTTTTTACATAACGTTTTTCATAATGCTATACTTTTTATAAAGTACTTTTTTCTTTGGAATTAATAATGTTGTTTGAACAAAAATAAACTTTTAAAATAATAAGTGCTTTATAAATGTAATAACACTATTATAGTTTTATTACTTTTATAATGCAGTTAGTGACTAAAGTGTTATTACTTTTGTAGTCAAAGGTTTTTTGTTTTTGTTTTGTTTTTTGTAACTTTCACTAAGAAACTTTTAATAATTTGCTCCTTATAAACAAAGTACACAGCTTTGCATGAACTAAAATTTTAAAGACCTAATATTTTAGCAGAGTTTGCAAACGCGATTATATAATTCAACTCTCGATATAAACTTGTTACATTATAATTATACAAATATATTTTACAAACAGATGACAATACATATTTTCTCTTTCCTCTTTAAAAGAAAAAACACATAAAATATGACAAAGTCATCCTTTTTAACGCCTAAAACCATTTTTTTTTTTTTTTTTTTTTTGCTTTGACTTAATGAATTTAGTTGCCAATAATAATAACCACTAAGAAAAAAATAATATAAAAACAACACACAAATTATTTAAACTATTATTATTATTGTTTTCTATTTAAGTTTACTTTAATTTCTTATGCAGTTATTAAATTTAAAACAATTTTTCAGTAACGCATATAATGTAACTTGCGCAAACGGCCGTGATCACGTTCTCTAACTTGAAAAACGTTTTTTGGTCGTATGAGAAAAAAAACCGCATGCCTTTTCTGGGAAGGCTTATTATATATATATATATATATATATATATATATATATATATATATATATATATATATATATATATATATATATATATATATTTATATATATATATATATATATATATATATATATATATATATATAAATATATATATATATATATATATATATATATATATATATATATATATATATAATATATATATATATATATATGAATATATATATATATATATATATATATATATATTTATATATATATATATATATATATATTATATATATATATATATATTATATGTATATATATATATATACATATATATATATATATATATATATATATATATATATATATATATATATATATATATATATATATATATATATATATATATATATATATATATATATATATATATATATATATATATATATATATATATATATATAACTAAGTTATGCAATCGAAATTGAGTTATTTTATTCTGTTTATTTAACGTTAGTCTAGTGAAGTCTTTTGCTTTATTATTTAGAATCACAATTTTTTTTTTTTTAAATAAATAGTTTTAATTCAGTATTGTTTATTTTAGTGATGTTTATTTTTCACAATTTAGCGACTGCGTTTTATTTATTATTAAGAGATTTATCTTAATCAACTTAAATTTTTTTTGTTTTTTAAATTTTTATTTGCATAAAGCTGTCCAATTACTGAGTAAAAGCAGTTGCTCATTTTTATTCCCTTGGCCTAATAATCGTTTAATATAAACGCATTATGTGTAAATTTAATGTTAGGTTTAAATTGTTTTTAGTTGGTTCGTATTTTTTGTGACAACTTTAAAATGACAAGCTAAAACTATTATTCCATATCTTTCTAAAAATCTTTTAAACAATTAATTTTGTTTTTAGTTTTTTTTTACTTTTTTTAAGTGACTTTAAATTATGAATAAGTAAAATTAAATCTTTCAATGATTTAATTGCTTTATTTTTCTTTTTTTTTTGTTTCTATTTTAAAAAAGGATTGTTTAAAAGTTTTTTTTAAACTTGACTTACTAATAAAATCATGAAATAATTAAAAATTGCTATTATATAAAGAATATGTAATTTTTTGTAAGTTTTGTTTATTATTTTGTTACTTTAAAAATAAAGTATTAGTTTTGTAGAACTCAATTCCCGATGGTCAAAATGTCTGACTACTTTTTATATTGATTGCACAATCTGACGTTTTAGCTGGACAATGTCAGATGTCGGATCGTTAAATTGACCTCTGAATCTTGCATCACTTTTACCGCACGTTCTGCACATATATTTGACCCTTGTATTGGAATCGGTGTTGGTTCTGTGGACCAAAATGTCTTCAACTATTTTAATACTTTTAAATGCAGAATTTAAGTAGCAATCATCAAACCATATATCACTCTATGAACCACAGATAAAGTCGCATGCTGCTCGAGTAAATTTTGATTCTTGGTAGTCTAATATTAGAATATGTCTTGATAGTCTGGTATTAGATTCTTGATAGTCTGGTATTAGGCAAGTAGAACAAAAACTGCTTTTGATTCCATCTTGCATTGTTCATAGCAGAAAGTGATTTGAAATTCACTTTTGGAAAGGTACTTGTGCTTTTAAACTTTCTATGGCAAGTTATTAAGTAAGGCAGGAAGTCCGTTTCATTTCACCAGCGTGTCAAATTCACTTTCGTCAAAAGATTTTTAGTATTCTGAAATAATAACTTCAGGTTCTTGTACTCTTGCAGTAATCTTGTCACAAAAGAATAATGAAGATTTGATGATGTTGTTGATCTTTCAAAAAGATCATTAATGACATGTTTAAAAAGAGTATCTAAAATATATTGTTGGCATCCTATAAAAGTAGGCTTTTCTAGTCCAATGGTTTTGAAATGTTTCTGAGACAGTGTTACTGCACTAACTCTTATTTCAATATTTGCTAATGTTTTGTCAGATACAATCACTTTTATGGCTGGCCCAGCTCATATTCTTCCAGCACAAGCTTTATCCAATTAAATATTGTTTCATTTTTTTTATTCATCAGCTAGAGAACAGCAAGTGTAACCTCTTTCTTTTCATTTTTTAAAACAACTACTTGATGTTCCTTTTTCTTTACAATTTTTTTTTCTTTTTTTTAAAAACAATTTTGCTTCCAATAAGGTTGCAAACAACCACTAATTAGTGTTGGAAGTTAATGGAAGAGAAAAGATGAAGATTGTAGAGCAAGATAATGATTGACAAACGACTTAAAAGATTGCAAATTATATAAATCAGTAAAGCAAGATGAAGGAAGCGAATTCTGAAGAACTGATGTTCCAGGAAAAAAACTAGACAAATAAGAGTTTTTGGAGCACTTAGGAACAGCAACAGAAAAAGGATGAGACTTAATTGAATGAAGAGTAACAGAAGAATGAGTTTTAGTAGATGGCACTAGAGAGGCTAGCTCTTTAGAGCAATGCCCATTATAGTATTTGTAGAAAAGAGAAAGTGAAGCCACATTACGACGATGTGATAATGGTTGAAGATTGGCTGCAAGAGCATGTTTACAATGCCGTTTTGTACCTTGTCTAAAAGAGAAAACGCATCATTTGAAGATGCGCCCCAGATATGGCAACAGTATTCCATACAATGCCGAAGTTGAGATTTTTTTTTTTATTCTTTTTTATTTTAATTCACCTCCTCAAGGCCGAGAAAGCCAATACAGACGAAGAGGCTACTTATTCGTGGCTATAACCCTCTCTCAACTCTATAACTCTGAAACATGAACCTTGACGAACAAGGCCGCTGCGCGGAGAAACGAGTTGAGCGCAGTACTACCAGGGACGTGGTGGGGATCGAACTCGGAACCACTCGTTTATGAAGCAAGCGCTCTACCACTACACCACTACCGCATAGATTTATAGAAATAGAAAATATCTTCCAAAGTGTGAAAGTGTAGAGCTTGATAAAGAGATGCAACTTTAGCAGATGCTAATTTTGCAACGTATTGGATATATGGTTTCCAAGAAAGGTCAGAATCCTAGAAGATAAGGGGTAGATGACTCATCAAGTACATTACCGTTCATAAATAAAGGCAGCTAAATTATTGTGATAATTATTGGCTGAAAAAAAATTGAGTTTTATCTGAATTAAATTTCAGCAGCCACTGTGAGCCCCATGCTGTAGCAGAAGTGAGATCCTTTTTAAACTCAAATGCCCCATCCAAGCAATCAGAGAGAGTTGGCTTCTTATCATGACAAGAATAAATGGTAGTATCATCAGCAAACAATGCCATTTTAGATTTAAGAATATCTGGAAGATCGTTAATGTAAATTAAAAAGAGTAAAGGGCCAAGGATTGAACCTTGAGGAATCCCTAAGGTTACAGATCAAGAAGAAGAGTGCTGTCCATTAAAGACAAACTTTATATTACGATTGGAAAATATTAAAGATATTTCCAGACACATTATAAGAAGAAAACTTATGGAGAAGACTGGCATGCCAAACTTTATTTAATGCTGTAGAAATATCAAGAGCGGCGGCATTAACCTCTCTACCTTTATCTAATGCACGATAAAACCTATCGGTTATTACTGTTAGCAAATCAGTTGTAGAACAAGAAGATTGAAATCCATATCGATGATCAGAAAGTAAGTAATTTATCCAAAATGAGAGATTAAGTGTTTGTTAATTAAAAATTTGAAAATCTTGCTTGAGATAGGAAGAAGACTAATGGGATGGTAGATGGTTGTACGAATCAGATCACTCTCTAGAATTTTTAAAAATAAGAATAACAGGCTGGAAAACAAGACTCTGATAAGCACTTGTTGAATAGTTTTGAAAGGATAGACGACAGCTCAGGAGGACACTTCTGCATGACTATAACGGGTATGTTGTCAGGGCCACAAGCAGTAGAAGAGTCTAAACAGTAAATCATTTTAGATACAGAAGCTGTAGTGATATGAATGTCAAGCAAGGGAACAACCTGTTTAATGGCTGTATCAGGTAGAATGCAAATAGTGGAATCAAGAGATGATATTGATGAAAAGTTCATGGCAAACAATTCAGCTTTGTCTTTAGGTGAGGTGACAAAATCTGAACCATACAAAAGAGTTGGAATTACAGACTTCCCCTTATTGATACTATTAAAGATTCTCCTGTATTCACGAGTGCCTGATTTTTTGGATATAGAGAGAGAGCTTGGTCGATATGATTAGAAATAACATCAAGAAGAGTGCGTTCTTGGGATGAGAGAGAGCGATATAGAACAAAGAGAAAGGTAATAGAGTGAAGTGGTGCTAAATGAAAGCACATAAAAGAGTAGTCTGTGGATTCAAACCTAGTTTCCTGACATATTGGTGAGTTCTTACGAATGTAAATGCCCAGGCCATACATGTGACTATTGAAATCTTTATGAGTTAAAGGAAGATAACCATTAACACTAATATCACAAGATGAATAATATGTTTAGCGAACTTGGTGATGGCAATGGTTTTTTGTGTTTTTTTTTTTTTTTTTTTACTTGATTCATTTTTAAATTTGTTAAAGAATATGACTCGAAATATAGTTAGTACACAGTACACTGTTTTATAGCCCAAACAATTGCCTCATTACTATTAATAAACCCTAACAAAGGGTTTCCATGTGGCCTTGGTAATGCACACCGAAAGTACAAACAGGGACACCACCCATGCGCAACATAGCACTGTTAATACTTTGATGTTTTTCAGCTGTTGATGGAATCAGTGTCTCTGAGAGTTACCGCAGAATTCAGGAAACCTGGCTATCAGCCAGCTTCAGAATCATAAAACTGAGTTTTGGAGATGTACCCTCATTAGGAGGTAATAAAATGAGTTGCTTAGTAATCAACAGAGATGCAAGCAAAATCCATGCATTGAGTCAAAAAGATCCAGCATTTAACATCCTAAACAGGAAACAAATTGTAATTTTCATGAAACGATTTTGATAAAGAAATATGATTTTAAAACCATGAAAAGTTATAAATTTTAATAACAGCTATTGACTTCAAAGACAGTTAGTATTTAAAAAAAAACACACACACACTAATAAATATTCAAAATAAATTGATAAACTGTTAATGCAGTTTTTGATTGTGACTTTAATAAAGAAATATAGAGAATATGCATCCTGGGGAATCTACCGTTTACATCTGTAAAAGATATGTAAAACTGTACATGTTGTACAAAATATACAGTTTTACATGCACAGTTCACCATTAATTAAATATTTTATAAACGTATTCAATAAATATTTTTATCCTTTTTATTACCTTTAAGTAATCTATTTATTTGTTTAGATACGAAACTATGGCTTCTAATCTGTCTTATCAAAATGGTGAGATTTTATTTTTGAGATAACCTAATATAACTGTAAAATAAATCCTAGTTTAAAACCAAATAAAGAAGAAAAAAACTAAACAGTTGCTGCCCCTTTTCACTATAAAAACCAAATCAAGGTGGTGGCAACAAATGATATTTTTATTTTTGATAGGAAATGACTTATAAATAGTAGCACCTTTTTAAATGGCTAATAGGTAGGTTAGAGTAGCTCTAGTTTCCAATAATGCATTCAACCATTAAAAATGGAAAAATCGAATGGTATTATAAGCTGGGTCTAATGGTATTATAAGCTTTTAATCTTATATCAATACATATTGTTAGAAAAATTTTCAAGCTTCTCAAAATGACTGAAAGTTGGTTTTAAGGCAGATGAAAGCCCTGAATAGAAAATTTTTTTTTTTTTTTTAATTTGTTTTTTTGTCTGTGATTATTATTTTTTTAATATATTTTTTAGTGAGTTTCAGTTTTTTGATAAAGTTAAGGAGTTGTTATTTTTTTCATTTTGGTGCAAATTTATAAAAACCTTTCTTATTTTGGTGCAAATTAATAAAAAAATACTATTTTAAAGACCAGAATAGAATTTAAAAAAGGTTATTAAGATTATAAAAAAGAAAAACGTTTAGAAAACCTTTTAAAAATATCTCTTTTTACCATTTATAATTTAAAGGGGTCATTATGTTATGTTTATAAGGTTATAATTTCGGAACTGTTATACTTGGAAGTTTGAAGCTTTAAGTTTAACCTAAATAATTTAGATGAGGATATATAAGAAACAGGATAGTATCCCACAAAATTTTATTAAAATTAGCTGAAACATAATGAACTGGCCTTATATTGCTTTCTAAAACATGACAGTTGTATTTTTAAAAATTTTCCTTTTTTATCTTTTTGCCAACTAAATCTTTTGCATCCTAATGTTTTTTATTTTAAATTAAATTTTGTTGACACTAAATTGAATAATCTCTGTTCTGGGTAGTTCCACATCAACTTGGTCTATAGAACGATGTGCCTTTCTTTTTGTTTAATGTTTTGACACACTTGCAATTTATAAGAGTACATTGAATGCAGATTTTGTTTCAAAACGTCCAAGATCGAGAATTTAATAATGGTTTTCTGAAATGACCTGGTTTTTATGGAATATAAAAAAAATGTTTATCTTAATAAACTAAAGAATAACATAGCAAAAGTATGAAAATAAACACATAAAATCCTTTTTTGATGCAGAATTCATTAAATATACCTATAATTCTGAAATATGAAATAAACAATATAAAACAATAAAACAACAAGTTTATGTAATAAACATTCGAGTCTTAATGTCTTAATAATTTTTTCCTTTTTTTTTTTTTTTTTTTGTTACTTGAATTTTTATATATCACTAAATAATTTAACAAAGAATTAAATGGAAAACAACAGTTACATATAGAACTATAACTTCAAAGATAAATCACTTTTTCAAGAAATTAGAGCATCAGGTTGAAGTAGATCTTAGTTCTTTTTAAGATTGTGGATGATTGTGTAGTTGTTGTCTGTACTACACTTCTTTACCCCTACCCAGTTGTCCCCAATATATACTGATGAAAGCTACAAGTACCAGAATTATTGCAGTATTGTTCTTTTCTTACTGTACTTCATGTTGCAATTGTAATTCATACTTTTTATGTAAATAAAATTAACAACTTTGATTTTTTAATACAAAATTCATACATGGCTTCTGATGTGATAACTTGGTTTCATTATGATTATCTCAAACTTTTTTAAACTGTCAACTTTTTTTCAGTCCAAACAATCCCATTGCATGGTGACTTTCCTCATATTTGCTTTTTTTGTTTTTTGTTTTTTTGAATTTTGCAGAAAGATTGGCTTGATTTTTGTTAGGAAATTTTTTTATAAATTCTTTACAAGTAATAACTTTATTAGACTTCATATAAATATATCATTTTTGGAAGTAGTTAACGACTTTATGCTTAAGTAAAACATAATAACAAATGAAAAACATTTTGTCAAATATAATAACATTAACTCAAAGTAAAATTTTTGTTTAAAGTATCTTCAATCTTAACAACTACTAATAAAAATCACATTCATAAAAATTAATTTAATTTATATTATTTACCATTTTTTATTTATTAATTTTTTATGTTAAGAAATTTTTAAACTTAATAATATAAAATAAAATATTTAAAAAACGATCAAAAAAAGTTGTTTAACTTAAGCAAGCTTTTTTTCTTTTTTTTCTTGCTTTTGTTTTAAACCCAAACTTAATTTAAATTTAAAGCTAAGGAGGCTGTTTTTTTTCTTTTTTTTAACAGTGGTTAATCCCTCTCTCAACACTTAAATTCCTAAACATGAAACTTAATAAGCAATGCTACTGTGCAAAGAAAAAAGTTGAGTTAGAGCCGTTAGTAAAAAGATTTTTAGAAGTAAATAGATTAAACAAATTTGAATTTTAAAGTGTTTTACAGAAGACTTGAATCAATTTTATTTAAAAAGTTTGTTAAAAGTAAAAACATAAAACTTAAGTAAAACTTTTTTCAGGCAGAATAACAAATAAAAAGTTTGTCAAATATAATAAGTTGACTCTAAATAAAAAGTGTGTTAAATGTATATTTAATCTTGAAGCAATAAAAATCATTTCACAAAAAGTTAGGTTCATTAAACTTATCAGAAATTTTGTGTCAATTAGTATTTATGTGGTAGTGGTGTAGTGTGCTTACTTCATAAACAGGAGGTTCCGAGTTCAATCTTCTTTAATACCTGGTAGTACTGCCCTCAACTTGTTTCTCTGCACATCAGCCTTGTTCATCAAGATTTATGTTTCAGAGTTATAGAGTTAAGAGAGGTTTATAACCACAATTAAGAAGCCTCATCGCTTTTAGTAGCCTTCTTAGCCTTGGGGAGGTAAATTTGCATAAAAAAAGTATATTATTATAAATATTTTTATGTCTATATAAAAGAATGTATAACATATACAATATAATACAAATAATAAAAAAGGTGTTATTGTAATAATGATCATGATTATTATGATCATGAACATTAGCAAATAATGATGATGGCTTTAATAGAAATTATTTTGTTTTATTTAGATTTGTCAAGGTTGTCTGCTGAACTTAAAAATTTTTATCTTAAGAGTTATGGAAAAATTGGTGAACTACAACCACTATTAGAATCAGCAAATTTAAATACTCAAAAGAGTTATACACCAATTACATATAGTGAAATATTTACAAATAAAAAATCAGTAATATTAATATCTGGAATAGCTGGTATTGGGAAAACATGGTTGCTTAGAAAATGTTTGGTTGATTGGTCAAATGGTTTAATTTGGAAAAATGTTGAATTTGTTTTTTATTTGGAATGCAGGAGACTCAATCAATATCCAAATATTTCGAATATTAATGAATTACTAAATGTTTTCTACAAAGATATTGTAAACAACTTTAATATAAGTAGTCATACTGCACTGTTTATAATCGATGGATTAGATGAGTTTAAATATTTAAATGAGTTATTAAATCCAAGTTTGACTTTTTATCCAATTGTTAATGCTTTAGAAGAAATTACAAAGTACAAACATGTAGTTGCTGGTAGAGTTTATGCAATAGATCAATACCAAAGTATATCTACAGAACATAGCCTTAAGTTAATCATTCAAGTAATGGGGTTTAATGAAAATAAAATAAATAGTTATATAGAAAGTTATGTTGTGGAAGAAAAAAAAGAAGTTGTAAAAACAACTTTAAAGGAGTCTCTAGTTGTAAAAGCCATGGCATCTGTTCCGTTTTATTTATCTTTAATGTGTAAAATTATAAGTGATTTAAAAAATATTGATTCAAATTCTTTCTTAACATTGACAGAGTTGTATGCAAATATTTTTTTATATTTTTTGCAAGAACACATCATTAAAAGCAATAAAATGATTTATGAGTTAATGGAACATAGTTCCAATAAAAATTATATTTTAAATATTTGTAAAATTGCATATAAATTGTTTGTTGAAAATAAAATAGTTTTTTCTGAAGATGAAGTTCAAGGTTTTTATAGTGACTTTGATAAAAATGAAAGCAATTTTTTTGGGTTTATAGAAAGGATTGAAACAGATCTTGATTGTTATTATCAGTTCGTACATTCAACAATAATGGAGTTTTGTGCATCAGTATATGTATATAATTGTTTAAGTTGTGATGAGATTTTGGCCAACAAGAAACTGAAGAGTTGTTTATCAATGATTTGTGGATTAGCCAATAAAAACCAAAACATTTTATTAAAGTTTTTTGTTTACCTAAATCCTTCAAAAAAATCCAGTGAAGGAGCTTCACTTTTGTGTTCCATTTTGGGTAAGTTCTGAAACATTGATGCATTATTGTGAGCCTAATTTAGATAATCTTCGTTTAGATTCGTTGTTCAATAAAGTGTTTTTACTCTTTTTTTATTTATTTTTATTGAATTTACATTTGATATGTTTTATAATGTTAGACAAGTTTTATAAAAAAAAAAATTAAATAACTATACTTTATCTAATATGACACAAAAAAGTTTCATTGTGTGAGCATTGTTCGCTTTATAAATGCTGAAGGTGGTTATGTGGTTTTTGTTTTTTAGATTTTTTAATGCGTGCATGTGTGTTTTTTTATTTATTTTATTATTCTTTAGGAAACAAAAAATTATTTAAAAATTCACTGTTTGCACAAATCTTATATACATATATATATATATATATATATATATATATATATATATATATATATATATATATATATATATATATATATATATATATATATATATATATATATATATATATATATATATATATATATATATATATATATATGTATATATATATATGTATATATATATATGTAAATTCTTCAAAATATTTTCTTTAAGTATAAATTATGTAAAACATGCATAAAATATATTTTTTGTTAACATAATATGTTATCATAAACATTATAAAAATGATTGTAGTGTCTTTATTATAATGTTATTCAGTGTGATGAACAATAAAATCACCAACAACAACTATAACGGCTTATGAGAGAGATGGCTTGGTCAATATGATCAGAAATAATATCAAGAAGAGTGCAGTCTTAAGATGAAGGAGAGTGATATAGAACAAAGAAAAAGAGTGATGGAGTGAAGTGGTGCTGAACAAAAGCATATAAAAGAGTAGTCTGTGGAATAAAACCTAGTTTTCCGACAAATGAGTGAATTCTTACAAATTTAAATGCCCTGGCCAAGCATGTGACTATTGGAGTCTTTACGAATTATAGGAAAATAACAATTTTTTTTTTTTTTTTTTTTTTAAATTTGCATTCACTCCCAACAAGGCTGCAAGCAACCACTATCAAGTTGGGAGTTACTAGGAAAAACAAGAACAGAGTTATAGAGCAAGTAAACGATTGACAGAAGACTTGAAAAGTTGAAGGTTGTATGAGTCAGGAAAACATAAAGATGGGAGAGAGTTCCAAAGGATTGAAGTGCGGGGAAAAAAACTAGATGAATAAAAGTTTTTAGAACATGCAGGGACAGATACAGTAAACGAATGAGACTTAGCTGAATGATGAGTAAAACGAGAATGAACTTTAGTTGATGGAACTAGAGATGATAACTCCTTTGAGCAGTGACCATGATAGTATTTGTCGAAAAGAGAAAGAGATGCAACTTTACGACGATGGGAAAGAAGTTCAAGCTTAGCAGATAGTCCAGGTCCAACAACATTTACAATGCGTTTTTGGACCTTGTCAAGAAGAGAAAGTGAATCGTTAGAAGAACCAGCCCAAATATGACAACAGTATTCCATACAGGGACAAATAAGAGATTTGTAGAAGTAGAGAATGGAGTCAGAAGTAAGGAAATGGTGAGCACGATAAGGAGAAGCAACCTTAGCAGAAGCTAATTTAGCAATCGATTGTATATATGGTTTCCATGAAAGGTCAGTAGTAAGCGATAATCCAAGAAGACGTAAAGAGGACGACTCAGTAAGAGGATTGCCGTTCATTAATATAGGAATGTTGACCATATTACGGTAGTTGTTTGCAGTAAGCAACTGGGTTTTTTTAGAGTTGATATTCACAAGCCACTGTGAACCCCAATCTATTACTGAAGTGAGATCGGATTCAAGGTCAGCTGCTTGTTCTAGGCGATCGAAAAGAGAAGACTTCTTGTCAAGACAGGAGTATAAAGTTGAGTCATCAGCAAAAAGAGCTACTTTAGATGAAAGGTTGTCAGGAAGATCGTTTATGTAGATAAGAAACAAAACAGGGCCCAAGATGGAACCTTGGGGAACCCCAGAAGTTAATTGAAATAAAGAAGAGTGTTGGCCTTCAAGGATGACTTTAATAAACTGGTTAGAAAGAAATGATTTGATAATCTCAAAAACTTTCCCTGAAACACCATATGAAGCAAGCTTATGGAGAAGACCAGCATGCCAAACTTTGTCGAAAGCTTTAGATAAGTCGAGAGCAACCGTCCTAGTCTCACCGCCTTCATCTAATGCACGATAAAATCTTTCATTTACAGCAGTTAGCAAGTCGGCCGTAGAGCGAGAGGATCGAAAACCGTATTGATTGTCTGACAGTAGTTTATTTGACTCAAGATGAGATGTGAGGAATTTGTTGATCAAAGACTCAAAGACCTTGCTAATAACAGAAAAAAGACTGATCGGACGATAATTGAAGGGGTTAGAATTTTCTCCTGTTGTTAATGTGGTGTGGTTATCTTTTGTTAATCAATTTTTAGATTCTACTGCAGAAAAAATTTATAATAAATATCATTTAATCAATACTAGGGACCTGTTGAATAGAAAATTAGCTTAAGTAAGAACTAAATATTGGACAATTAAACTTTCAATTAGACTTGAAATTTCAAATTGTGTATCTGGGATTGTGTATCAAATTGTGTATCTGGGATTATCAAATCATTTCTTTCTAACTGCTTTATAAAAATTTATCGTCAAAGGCTTATTTATTTCCAGTAACTTCTGGGGTATCTCAAGGTTCTATTATTAGTCCTGTTTTGTTTCTTATCTACATTATTGATCTCCCCGACAACCCTTCATCTATAATAGCTCTTTTTGCTGATGAAGTTTTTACTCCTGTCTTGACAAAAAGTCTTCTCTTTTTCATCGCTTAGAACAGGCAGCCACTTTCGAATCTGACCTTACTTCTGTAACAGATTGGGGCTCACATATTTTGTCTTATAAACTTTAACTCCAACAAAACTCAGTTATTTACTGTAAACAACTACCACAATACTGTCAACATTCCTATATTAAATTTAATGTAACATTTTTTATAAATATTTAATTTCTATCTCTAAGCTAATTTTTTTTAACATAACATAGTATATATATATATATCGTCGGATAGTGCAAATCCGCTTAACTAGCATTGGTTACTATGTTTTTGTATTATTAATTTTAACACCAAATATTAATTGTTGAGATAAAAAATAACACGAATAATACTCTTTATACTGAAATGAACCCAAAATCAGTTAAAATAAAAAATATATAAAGTTTTAAACTTCTCCAGTAAAAAATATGTATTGTAGATACGCGGTATTATCCAATGCTAGTTACGCGGTTTTGCACTATCCCCGACGATATATATATATATATATATATATATATATATATATATATATATATATATATATATATATATATATATATATATATATATATATATATATATATATATATATATATATATATATATATATATATACGTGTTGATAATTTTCAAACTTTTTATATATTTAACTGTTATATGTTATTAGAAAGAATTTTAATTTAATATGAAAACGGTGAAATATTTTATAAAAACGAACGATTTTATAATATTTCATCTCCACTTGAGTATGAAAATTTTTTGCATGCTTTAGTATGAAAAAAAATTATTACAGTATGATAAAGGTATATAAGTACCAATGTCATACTAATTTAAATTAAATTTAAATAGTCGGTTGTAAATGCAATATTACAATAGTAATATTATATTGCAGTAGTACCTATTTTGCAATATTGCAATAGTACCTATGTCATACTAATTTGAATTAAATTTGTATGAAATAGGTACTTATATACCTTTAAAAATAGTCGGTTGTAAATGCAATTGAATAATAGTTATACTGAGTTATTATTCAATTGCATTTACAACCGACTATTTTTAATCGATTTTTTTCGCTTTATATGTTTACAATATAATACTATTTTTATCGTAAATCGACAGTTCGTCTAAGTTTAAAATTCTGGCAACAACCTGTGTTTCTTTTGCAAAAAGTTTTAGAAAAATATTGTTTATATGAAACAGTTGTGAATGAGGAATTATTTTCTTGTTTGCGTTGAAATGATTGTTTCATGGATTTAATTTTTACCAATAAATTCGTTTAAGTTTTCAATGAACGTCGAAATCAAATCAACAAATATTATTTTTACAAAATTTGTTTAGAAATTTGATTTATAAAAAACATTCATTTGTTTAAATAAAATGTTTTATGTTTTATTAAAACAACCGAACGACGAAATTTTTTTGGAATATTTAAATAAAAGAAAGTATTTTTAGTTTATATAGGATTGAATAATTTTTGTGAAGTTATTTTAAATATGTTTAATCTATAACTTATATTTAAATTATTTTGTTTTGAAAATGTAGTAAAATGTTAAAATTGAGAAAATTAAATATATTTATATATATATTTTTTAAAGTTATTTTTTTTAAAAAAGGTTTCATAATTTTAATATTTTTATTTATCATTTTAATTTAATATTGATTAATGTATGTAATATTATTATTTAAAATATAATCTATTTAATAAAAATAAAAAATTGTATATGATATTTTATTTAATCATAAATTAATAAAAATTATATGTATGAATATGTAGAATATTATAATGTATATAATGTTATAATTTTGATTATTATTTTAATTATTTGTTTATTTTTATAATTAATGTTTAATTTTACTTTAGATCGTCTAATTAAAAGTGATGACTATAAAGAATTTTACTCTTTATCTAGTATAAGTAGAAATGATGATAGAGAAGATTACCGTGATGTATTCATTGAATGTTTTTATGAAAGTCAATCAACATTTGATGATGAAATTAATTCAATTGTTGATAAAAAATCGAGGTGGGAGTGGTCGAATATTTCGATTAACGAAGGAAAAACTTCTTACTTAACTTCTTGCGAAAGTTATTTCATAAATCATTACGTAAAATCTAAAAGAAAGTTATCGATGTTAAATGTTAGTAAAAATATTTTAAGTGATGAAGAAATAAAACTTTTAATACGATGTTCAACTAATGTTCGCGATGTCTACTTTTATCATCCAATTAACTTCGAAGGATGGAAACCGAAAAATAAGATTGAAGTGTTGAATATATGGATCTCATATTATTTAATAACAAAAAAAGATTTTGAAGAAAATTTTCTTCCGTGGTTTAATCATTGTGAAAAATTAACTCTTAAACTTCACGACGAAATTGATTTTATTAAAGAAATTTGTGAATGGATTTGTTGTTCGAATGTCAAGAGGTTTAAGATCGAGTACCGAGGAAAAGATTTTCGTAACCTCGATAAATTAAAAAACTTTACAACACGATAAAATATTTAATACCTAAAATATATTTACTAAAAACAATAATTATAAATAACTAATGAAATATTTATTGTATTATTTTATAATAAATACGTTTTTAAATATATAAATTAATTTTATTAGATTTATTACTTAAAAGTTTAATTTTTTATTACTAAAATATTTTATAATTAATTCGTTTTCAAATATATTAATAGTTATAATTATAATAGTTATAATTATGATATAAATCAATAAATATATTATTATTAATAATTTTCATATATATATATATATATATATATATATATATATATATATATATATATATATATATATATATATATATATATATATATATATATATATATATATATATAACGCTATTTGATGTATATATATATATATATATATATATATATATATATATATATATATATATATATATATGTATATATATATATATATATATATATATATATATATATATATATATATATATATATATATATATATATAACGCTATTTGATCGCAAAGCAGACAGTGTTAAAAAGTGAATCTAAAGCAGACATTAAAAAACACACTCAGAAATACAACATAACGAAGAACTTGATGTATAAACACTTTATTTTATTTTAAGAAAACATAATCTGTTATTAATTTAACGTATGGATTAAAAAAATCAAAATAATATGTATAATATCTGCTTTACGTAACATTATGGTCCAAAATTTAGAAAGTTTTTGAATTTGAGAATAAAATCTTAGAATATTTGAAGCTTTTCATTCAATAAATGTCTTTAATTCCATTTATATTACATAGTTTATTGACCTCATACTGTCAATTAAATATTTTCCGGGGAATTTTTTTTCTTTTCGTTAAACTTTGTAAATTGTAAATACTATTTTGGTTTATGTATAATATTGTTTATATGTTTTTACAATGTTAATATTAATATATATATATATATATATATATATATATATATATATATATATATATATATATATATATAATATATATATATATATATACACTAGCTTAATTATTTCAGTTTTACTTAATTTATCTTTTATCTAGTGGTAGTTTTTGTAAATGACCCCCGGTTTAGTAACTTACATAACGTTCTATATCTTATGAAGTAGAAGTTTTCAACATATGTTTTTTATATGATTTTGTAAGCTTATTTAATGCTCTTTCTGATGGTATAAAACATTTTGAAAATAACGATTAAAATTGTTTTCTGCTCTGGGGGCCTATTACATTATACCTCGTGACACAAACCATAAATATTAAGTGACACCTTTTTCAAATCCTTTTCATACAAGGATTTCATATCAACAAAAAGTTTGCTTGTAACACGTATGTGCACGCGAAGAGTATTTTTAAAACATAGTGACCTGCATTATTAAAAGTTATCTGATGACTCATGAAAAGTTATCTAGATGGAGAGGAAGGGCGGGGGTGATAAAAAAATAAACATAAATCTCTTTTTTGTCACGATAAGCATGTAGCAAGTCATATATTTTAAAGACCGTTATACTCTTGCCAAGCCTTTATTATTTGAAGTGAGAGTTCTTAATATATATCAGCTTAACTATTTTTTTTTTTAAACGAAAGCTAAAAAAACTTATTTTTACAATCGAAGATTTAACAATATACTTCTGATATTTTTTAAGTGATCTTCCTTTTTACTTTTCTATTTAAACATGAGTTTATTGCCAGTGAAAAGATATGAAGTTGTACAAAAATTTAAAAAAACATTATCAGGGAATATTTGAATGATAAAATAGACAAACGAGGGAGGAAAGAAAAAAAAAGTTTTGAAAATTTTTATAATAAGAAATGTATAGCAAAAAAAGTATTAAAAAGGTAAAATTTGTTAAGTGGTAAGAAATTTTTAATTAAATCACTTGCCTAAATAAAATAAAATTAGTTTGGGTTATGATTGTTATGAATCATCAAACAAAACATTTTGTTTGATGATTCATAACATGAGCGTTCGGAAATCTCAGATCATGTTGGAACTTTTGATAAAAGGAAAGTTAAACCATTGTTTGATTTTCTATTACTTTAAAAATCACTTGTAAAAATTAATAATTAAAAATCTGCATTAAAAAAAAAATAAAGATTTCACGTCACCATGGATTACAAAAGATCTCAGATAAAGTTCTAACGTTAAGCAAAAGTTGTATATAAAGTATTTAAAAACGAGAACATTAGAAAGTAAAACAATTAATAAGAATTACGCTAAAAAATTTGAAATCCAAAGAAAAAATTTTAAAAAAAGATACTATATAAACTTACTAGAAAAGTATAAAGAAAATTCAAAGCGAACATGGCAAATTATAAGGGAAATTACAGGCAGTAAGAAATTGATAGCTAGCTCTCTACCTAGAGCTATTAAAATTGATGATAAAATATTTTATGATCCGAGAGTGGTAGCAAATGAAATGAATGAATTCTTTACTTCATTTGGACCAAATTTAGCAAAGAAAATTTCTAATATAAATAAAATAATAAATTTTCCTTTAGTATCTTGTCCAAACTATTTTGAATTGTCTTTTGATGAATTTGATAGAGCTTTTAAAATGCTAAAGCAAAATAAAGCAGTCGGTCCTGATGATATCAATGGAAACATTGTTATTTTTTCCTATGGTATCATAAAAAATATCCTTTTTAAATTATTTAAATGTTCAATTCAACAAAGAATTTTTCCTGATGTATTAAAAATAGCAAGAGTTTCACCATTATTTAAAGGTAGAGACTCAATGTTAATGTTACTCAATGTTAGTAATTACCGTCCAATGTCTGTTCTCTCTGTTTTCTCAAAAACTATAGAGAGAATTCTTTACAATAAAATTTTGAATCATCTTTCTCAAAATAATATCCTATACAAAAATCAATATGGATTTAAAAAAAATAACTCCACTGAACACGCTATACTTAAAATAACACAATATAATACTGAATCATTTGAAAATTCTAAGTTTACTTTAGGCATTTTTGTTGACTTGTCTAAAGCCTTCGATACGATTGATCATAAAATTCTATTTAAAAATCTTAAATATTATGGAATCTCTGACAATGTTTTGAAGCTTTTAAAAAGTTATTTAAGCAATAGACATATCATCGAAATCAAAATTGTTTGATATAACATGTGGAGTTCCCCAAGGGTCTGTCCTAGAACCACTACTATTTCTCATATACATAAACGATCTCTATGAAGCATCTAATAAAATGACAATTATGTTTGCTGACGACACGAACTTTTTTTTATCTCATAGCAACATAGCGACACTATTTCAAAATATGAACATAGAATTAATTAAAATTTCTGAATGGTTTAAATTAAATAAGCTTTCTCTCTATTGAAAAAACAAAATGGTCTCTTTTTCATCCATGCTACAAAAAGTATCTTCTACCGAGTGAATTGCCTGCTCTTTCTATAGATAACATGCAAATTGAAAGAGTAACGGCTACAAACTTTTTAGGAGTTTTTATTGATAAAAATCTGACATGGAAAAAACACATTGAAAACTTATCATCTAAAATTTCCAAAAGTATAGGAATACTATTCAAAATAAGAAACATGGTAAATAGACATACTTTAGTTCAGTTATATCACTCTTTTATTCATTGCCATCTAAACTATGCTAAGCGGCTTGGGGTAGTGTAAGCAAAACTAAATTAGAACCACTTTATCGCCAACAGAAACATGTTGCACGACTTAATAATTTTAAACGAATCGAATATTAAAAATAAAAGTTAAAAATAAATACAATTTGCGTAATAAAAATTTTATTCTTCATCCAGTATAGAATTAAATGTGTAAAAAATTATATTTTTATTTAAGTGTGAATATTTATATATGAATTATTAGAGGATTATTTTTTATTTAAAATCTGTTTAGACGGTTCTCGATGACAAGATCTTATGATCTTCTGCGAGTATCCGCGTTCTCCTTATTTTAACGCTAACAAAGTTTGTAACTTTTACTATATGTATTTTATGAATCTTATTCATTCTTATATTGTGAAACTTATTTTGAATAAATAAAAAGAACAAAAAAAAAAAAAAAAAAAAAAGTGAAAACTTGATTCACTCAATGCAACTTAGACTAATCAACTAAAACCCGTCTATAAAAGACGTTACCAATTTTGAGGCTATTTTTGATCCCCTTTTCCCCTTATACCGGTAAGTATAAGAGAAAAAAAGGATCAAAATCCTATTTTCTTATACCCCCTCCCCCTTGAAAACAATAAAATCAGGATCCTCCTCCATTTAAAACAAATCTTTCTCTGATTTTGTTTCATTTTTTTAATTAGTAGAAGCGTTGTTTTTAAATTTTTTGAGAGAATCAAAAGACTATTTTATCCATCTTTTGACATAGACAATGAATGAAAGACGCGCAAATGAAAGTTGCAATACTTTTGAAAAATAAAATAAAAAATATTCTCTCATAATATTTTTATTAAAAAAACTACGGTAGTGTTATTGTTTCTGCCAAAGTAATAATAAAATTTAGCTAATAAGGAATGATAAACTAAAATTGGTTAAAATTCAACCAATCTTAAAAAAAGACTAACTTTTGTCTTATTTATGTATTTTCAAAATTATTTGAATGAATAAATTACACTAGAATTTTTGATCTATATTTATATATATAATCTTATTTAAAATCAATTTGGGTTTAAAAAATATTGTTCTACGAAATATGGTATTGTTGAACTGAATAAGATATTGCAAATAATATTTATTTGATAAAGGTAAGATAGTACTAAGAGTATTCATAGGTGAGTTAGTATTAGGAGTTAGTAAAAGGAGTATTATTTATCCTTTCAAGATATTTCGTCAATAAATAAATAATTTTACAATGTAATTGTAAAAAAAAAAAAAAAAAAAAAAAATATATATATATATTTTTAAATATTTTGCCATTTAATATTACAATAACAAAATATATTTTACAACTTTTACATTAGTAACGACTGGACTTCTAGAAGATCATGAGGATCTTGTCATGAAGCCCTTTACAATATATAGTTAATTTTTCATAAAAATACAATGTCTGAAGTGAAATAATAATAATAATACACCTTTAGGCA